AAAATTTTTCCGCAGTAAGTGCATATCGCCTTTGTCCTGTCGTTGGTTTTCTCGAAATGCTGCCAAACTATGGAGCCTTCCCGCTTACGTTTTGAGGACTCAGCCTCGCAGTTTTCCTTTGATGTTCCTATTAAATATAAATCATACAATTAAAGCCATAACACAATGTATGTCCAACATAAACATATGTACATACGCACGCGTTTGAAATGTGCATGTTGAAAAATCACATGCGCGTTTACTTATATGATAAATACTTACTTTTAAGGTGTTTCTCCATCGCTGAAAGATTACCACAACTCCACGTCCGCCGCCACCACCACGAATGAAACTTAATAAAAACTTAAAAAATGTTATAAAGTTGAAACTAATATAATCTTATAGTTCATACCTTTTGCGTGTTCTCTTTTAACTCGTCGTTCTTTACATTTGCAGACGTGCACAAAGGAAACATCGATAGTCGCAATCACCTATCGATGTTTAACAAAAATGCAAAAACATCGATACATCGATAGTGCATCGATGTTTTCTCCACCTCTATTTGTTGTGTCAACCACATACTGCACATGACTTCGAAGCGATGCTTTGCCTTTCGGTTATAAATGTGTACACACATACATATGTATGTATTTAGCATGTTCAATCAGTAATAGCTGTTTAGCTCAAATACGTTTATGTGTGTATGTATGTGGTATAGCGCAGTCACGTCGCTCATACACATCTCTTTTGCCTTTGTGACTTCGTGTTTGATCGGCACTGATGTACAGATTTTTCGCGTAGCTATGCGCTGTATTTGGCAACCAAATAGGCTTATGCTTGTACGTCTTTGTAATTTTTTGTAACTTTACACCCAAAAAAAGCGTGCTTATCTTCCAAGAATAAAAAATATAAGTATGCCACTCTGCGTCTTTTTACAAATGCTTCGTTTTAAAAAAAAATAATATTAAAATCGGTTTAGTACTTTGAGAAATAAGTCGTTACAAACGTACTCCATATAATCAATTTTATATAATAGTATAGCTGCATGAACCAAAAAGACAAGATCACGCGGGCAGGAGAGTAGCCCGTTAGAATCGCATTAATGAAAAAAGTTGAAGGATTTTGACATTAGCCGTTTATTTACATTTCTTCGTTGTTTACAATTTGGTGGTGGCTTTTTACTGCAATTTTCTTCATTTTCGCTTGTGACAACGTGTGTACACATAAGATAAAGAATAATTTAACACAACGGCATGATTTTTAGAAGAATTTGCATAATAAAAATGATTTTTCATGCGTTCAACAATTTCGCGGTTTTCTCCGTTCTCTTCGTTGTTTACTTCTTACAGCAAAAATGGCGTCGAGATTTCGGCAGCTAGAAAATAACTTTTTTCGTTCTTTCCGTCCCGCGTGATCTTGTGTCTTTCGTTCATGGTATAGATGTATGTATATGATTACCGTTAAGTCGAATTTCGCTGATTGTGGAGCGCAGCCAAGTTTTTACCCTTCTTAATGTGCTCAACGACCTTTCAATTGTGGAAGTTGTACAGGGCATTACAATTGTAAGGCGCATTTTACTTCCGGGTAGAGAATTTTGCTTTCAGGTAAACTTCAAAGGTAGAGGTACGCTTTACACAAACACATATGTAACTAGAAGTTCACAAAAGTATATATAAGACTAGTCGTCGATTTAATTAATTAACATTTTACGGCAGATGTTTTTTTTACGAGGAGGAAACATTGAAAGTCTAACCCCGTCAGTGTGAGACTTTATGGCCCCGTCAGAATGGGTACTTTGCGTACGTTCCGCTCAAGGATGAAACTGACAGTTGAGTAGACTGTGTGTTTGCATAGAGAGCGTCAGATAGGCGACGTATGAGTTGCCGTACCGGACGAAAATCACTCTACTCTCTACTTTTGGCGTACAGTAAGTACGACACAAATGTCAAACGCCATTTTCGCTATTCTTCTACATCACGCCACTTCCACGACCGAGTGCGCGAAATTAAAATAAAATCGAATTATTTGTGTTCGCTATGGAATGCAACTTAATCGAGGCTGTACAAGTGCATCCCTGTCTCTTCGATAAATCAATTGCGGGTTACCGCAACAAGCTGGCCAAAGAAAAGGCATGGAACAATGTGGCGGCTGCTGCCGGTGCCAGCGGTAAGTGGAAATTTATAAAATATAAAGGATTTCATTATAAATAATTATTTAAAATGGCAGTGGAACAATGTCAAGGTCGGTGTAGGTCTCTCCGCGATCGCTACTTAAAAGAAGTCAACGTAGGAAAAGGGGCTTCTGGCAGTGCTGCGAAAGACACTAGTAACTGGAAGTACATGGATGCGATGACTTTCCTACAGCGACACGTAGCTCTTCGACAGTGAGTGATTAACCATGAACACCAAATCTATGATATAATATAATTATAAATCGAATTACCCTATTCTGTGGGTTTACTCTGTATTACGATTAGGAACTTAATGCGATTCGAAAGGCGACACGGAGTAATAAAATTTCATAATGCCAAGTATTCCAACCCAAATGATTTGCTTTTCGAATCGCAATACGGAGTAAAGGTCCTGGTTTTCATGGCCTTTTTGCATTGGCTAAAATAGCAGCGTAACGATGTGACATCGAATTGCCAAAGATCTTCTGAAAATATTTGAGTTCCCAGACGTTCATAATTCCAATTCTATGTACAAGGCATAATTCATATTCATCAATAACCCCTATCTTCAATTGAATGTTTAACACAAGCGCTCTATATATTAAACACTAAACTATCTTTCCGCTAAACAGAACGATCGGAAACACCACATTTATCATCGATGAAGTTGAAAACCAGCCTACGCAGCAGCAAACCTTTGAAGAAGTTAGCTTTGAATCGGAGGTTTTGTTTGAGGAGTGCCCTGTCGAGGATTCCACATATGAGGTTGCACAGTGTGACCAGTTGAATAATGACTGCAGGTCGACTTCACAACCATTAATTGAGAGCCAACAAGACGTAGGCGCCAGTTCGAATAGATCTATAAAGCGGAAAAGAGATGAGGATCGGCTAGATCAACTTTGTGGTACTGTAAGTGACTGGCTAAAAAAGTCTGAAGCACCTGCACAACAACTAAGCCGTAATTCGCAATTTCTATCAGTGCTTGATTCTTATCTTCTTAAGCATTCTGAAGAAGATCAAGACTTTTTAAAAATTCAAATTTTGAACTTAGCCTACAACGGCGTGGAAAATTAATTTACTTTTAATTTAATCCAATGTAATGTACATTGGCCATTAGTACCTGTATTAACGTTCCAACTGAATTAATTACAATGTAATTTAAACGTGACTGAATTGATAGTTCCTTTTTAATTAAATGATTTACACTACGGTGTAGTGATATGAATATATGTACAAATACACATTTAAGTTTTTGGTAATAAATAAAATATACTGTAGTTTGAAGTGTCTAGTAACTTATTTTTATATAACAAAAGGCATATATTAGAATTTTATTATTACATATATATTTATTATTAATATTTTTATGTATTATATTTTTTTTATATAATACTATTTTTGTTGCTATTAATATAGGTAATTTTTAATAAAATTATGTACATGTATTCTTTAACAAAACCCGTGTAAATCCAAGTGTGAGTATGTACAAAGTACAAAATGTAAATGGCTAAAAATTACCGTTTTAAATATTGCACAAACTTGGATTTACACGGATTTTGTTAAAAAATATATGTATGTATATAATTTCATAAAAAAAATAACCAAAATTAAATAACAACAAGAATAATATGTTTTTTTACTTATCTCTCATTCTCTTAAAAAAGTTGGCTTGGTCCAATACCCAGCCGAGTGCTGTACAGTGTTTTAAAAGAAAACTCATATGAATTCACATTTCAAATTTTGTACAAAATTTAAAAAAGTTAACAGGTTTTCGTCAAATAAACAAACTGTTTTGAAACTGTGTTGCTTCTATAAAATTTAAAATGTTTTCATTGCCAAAAATATACTGCTACTATAATTTATGATTTATGTGTATTTTGTTTATAGTATGATCTGTAACCAATGTGAGGAAATTTTAATAAATTTTAATTTTAAAATAAATAAATATACTACGGTTACCTTAAAAGTGAAATAAAAGTAATGTACATACATACAGCCATGTGAAAAATAATAGTGGCACGAGATTTTGACCAGTTTCGGTTGTTTTTCTTTTGTTTCTTTAATGTTTATTATTTTTTTTTTATAAAAATACAGCTCACTATCTAACTATTAAACATTAAACATTCAAAATAAGAATAGCGAAAAGTGGTAAAAACATCGTGTCCCTATTATTTTCCCATGACTATATGTATTTACAGTGGTAAAAAGTAATAGAGACAAGAAATGCTGACAAGTTTCGGATTTTTTTCTGTTGTTTATTTAATGTTTAATCATTTTTATAAAAGAATAACTCTTAATATAAAAGCAAGGTATACAATTTTGCCGAATTCTGATCAACTTTTGAAAATTTAATTTATATGCTGTTTTTTATCTTGAGTTATACTTATATAAAAAATTATTAAACATTTAATAAAAAAAGAAAAATATCCGAAACTTGTCAACATTTCTTGTCTCTATTTTTTTCACAACTGTATGTCTATATTTAAATGAACGTAAATTGATAATAATTTTTTATCTAATCTAAGAATGATGGATCAAATCCAATTTCAAAGTTATTGGTGGTAGTTAGGCGGACAATTTCAACTAATGCATAGGGGTTTCCAGCTGTTAGTTGCCTGAAATGAAATGATATATAGTATGCATTTTAAATCTGCTTATTTTTTGTTTTAATTCATGTAATTTTAATATTATAAAATCTTATATTATTTAAAATTTTCATGCAATTTTTATATTCTACTCCTTCGAATACAAATGTAAATAAACTTAATGTATTTCAACCAAAGTCACTTTGAACCTTTGGCAACCTAAATATTAATTATTAAGACATTGCTTACATTGGACAACCTTTATTTTATTCGGTCCTTTGAATTGGGCGGGATACGACATAGCTCATCAACTCATCCCTTAGTTTGAAAGCGTTGTTTGAACATGTCCTTATGGCCTTTTGTAAAGGGGTGGATATTTCGTTGCGCCACAGCCCCTTTGTTACCACGTTCCCATCATCCTGGTCAACGTATTCAGGTGGGCAATAACTTCCATCATGCATCTTCAAGAAATTGTGCAGAAGTACGGTCGCTTTCACAATTTTTTCTGCGGATGTTGGGCTCATATGCAAGGTAGACAAAAGGATCCTCCATCTACTTGCTAAAATGCCAAAAGCATTTTCAATCACTCGGCGTGCTCGCGACAAACGCTTGTTTAAGATTTCCCTCTCCAAAGGCAAATTATTTCCTAAATACATATATAAGAATTAATAGTAATAGTATGAAACTAAAGTGACAAGTCAATTGCTTGTACGAACCTGGATACGGTTTCATTAAAAAAGGTTTTAATGGGAACGCAGAGTCTCCAACAAAATAATGTGGAAAACTGTTGCTAGTGCCGGGCAATACTTCTTCTTTCGGCAAATTCAATTGGCCCGTATATAAACGCTGCCCAAAACTCGAGTTCCACATAACTCCGCCGTCAATTTGCGAACCGTATGCACCAATATCTACCGCAGTGAAGGTATAATTTGCATCACAGGCTGCCAGAAGGACTATTGAATAGTTACCCTTATAATTATAAAAAAGGGAACCGATGTTGTTCGGGCAAAATATATTTATATGTTTGCCGTCAATAGCGCCAACACAATTAGGTAGATCCCACATTGAATAAAAATCGTTGGCAATGCGTTTCCATTCATTCTTCTGTGGAACCGATAAATAAATTGGGCCAAGTACTTCCCATAAGACATCACACGTCTCTCCAACGATTGCTTTCATTGTGGAGAGCCCTATTTTAAAGGCAGAATAATGAAACTGCTTACTTTCCCCATACGCTAAATATCTATATGGGCAAATCTAAAATACAGGTAACCTTGGTGTTATTTAGCTTTATTTTCACTGTTGGAAACTATATCAAGCTGATTGCTTTTGGATATAATTCACTGACGTATACTTGAAGCCTCAAAAAAAATTTGGATCAACTTGCTGCATAACTTTTGAATTATAGGTGTTTAAATTTAAAAAATTAATGAAAACAAGTGAATTCTTTATGTAATTTTTAAGAGGGGCAAACTTAATTATGTCATAACTTTTGAAGCACATATTCTGACTTGAAATTTAATGGGCATTTAGCACTTATGTGTATACTTCATATGTAGTAGGTAAGAAAAGTGTGCATTGCAAAATAACGAAATGGCAAGTAAGTCAAAGTCTTTAACTCCACATTTCACAATTTTCAAAATTTTCGGTTTATCGCGTATAGTTTTTGAAGCATTTTATTTTAAGAACTTCTTAAGTATGTGTTGTATTCTACAAACAATTACGAATAATGTGATACCTTAGCAAGAGGTGTGCTTTCAGAATAAACTAACTTTTAAAGATAAAATATTCTGCGATCTTGAGCGTAATTTTTATTCCAAAAACACCTTAATTGAAGGCACATTTGTAAAATATGTCGAAACGATCTAAATCTTTCTATAATTGCTAGTCCTTATAACGTTGCATATACCTGTAAAATGCTTCAAAAAGATGTTCTCTAGAAGTGTTTAAAGACCCCGATTTAGTACTTTTAATTATGCTCCTTCTTGTAGCCAGAATATTTCGAGCGTGGTATCAAATCAAATTTTTTTCGACAAAAGTTCTGATAGTTGCTCTTACTTAATTGGAGCCTTTTAAATTCAATGGCGTCCCCAGTTTTGCCCGATTGTCTCCACTTTTGGAGACAGCGGTACTTGAAACTTTGCTTATATTTGAACTATTTTATAAAAAAACTCTCTCAGTTTTGAAGATATTTTACTAAAATTTTGCACACGCTTGTATTTTAATATTTCCTTCACTATCTCATAAAATCATCGAAATCGGTTAACTCCAAAATCTAGCTCCCATACAACTGATTGTCCAGAGTTGCAGTTTTGCGTTATAACTCCTCCAATTAAATAAGTAAAAATTTAGTATAGGTTCACTTTAACATATAGCACGCATACAATTTATTAATCAGATATGAAGTTAGAGTTATAGCGCAAAAACACATATCTGATTAATCAGTTGTATTGGAGCTATACGTTAAAGTGCACCCATTTCGATAATTTTAAGGAATAATTAAGGTAATATTAAAAACCGTTATGTGCTAAATTTTAGTAAAATACCTTCAAAACTGAGGGAGTTATTTATAAAATAGTTAAAATATTATCAAATTTTCAAATACCGTTATCTTGAAAACCGGAGCCAATCTGGTAAAACGGGGGATGCTATTGAATTTAGAACGTCCCAATTAAGTGAGTTCAACTTTCAAAATCTCTGCTCAAAATTTACAACTTCAACAACTTAATTTGAACCCAGCTTATTCTTTTGTTTTCTATTTCATGTTTATTCCTCGTCTAACTTTTGAAGCACTTGATTAAAATGAATTACACTTATATTAATCGACTTATTAAGAGAATACGAATAAAATGATATATAAAACATAGGTGTGCTCACAAATTTAAAAATTAAAAATTTTTTTTTTGAGGTGTACCTATTTTGTAAATTTTCCCATATACATAGGTACATAATTTTTCAAAAACCGATAATAGTTTCCCATGCGAGTTTGTGTACATATCTGTGGCATTTTATGGCTAGTTAATCGTTGTTTGGGAACCCAATGAAATATTGCTTTAAAGGGATAATGGCTTATCTCATGAGAAGTTAACTTAATAATATGCCAAAGATTTATATATTACATACATTATATATAGATATGTACAATAAATACAAACTTACGTGAGCGTTAAATATAGGCGGCATTCTGGCGAAATGGATGGCCTATTAGAATTTTTTGTAATTTTTTCCTTAATCAAATTAAGGAGGAAGTCGAAAACTTGCTTCTCCATCCTAACATTGTTTTTAAATTCCTCCTGGAATCGAAAATTTGCAGTGAAGAAGCCACGTGTGTCCCGATCCCGCAGGGAAGGTCGCACCCACCATCTACGACTGCCATAAAGCCTCTTAATACACTCACTGGCTTCCAACAACAGCAGCACAATAATTATTATTTCAATTTTTTGCATTTCGAAGTTTCGCTTTGGGATATTTAATCTTTAAGGGCACACCGAAAAATTTTCTGCATTTATAAGAACGTTTGCCGCCAATAGAAATCAGCTGATTTGTTTACACGCATCGAATACTTCATTGTGGCATCCCTGTACGTTACGTACGTGATGTCGGATGGACGTATTGACTGAAGTAAAGGAGAAGTGCTGATTCTGACGAATGCTTTAACTCAAACTAACAGCCCGATTCTGTAAAAACTGACAGCGTTGCTTGTCAGTGCTGCCATGTCAGAGACGTTGTCAGTTGAAAGCTCCCGTGCTATTCTAGTTCGATGACTGAAAAGCTGAAAGCTCTTTAAACTCACCACGCAATGAACGGCAAAACAGCTGACTGGTGAGTTAAGTCAAACAGATGGCAACTGAGAATACGTAAGTTTGTTTACATTTTTTGTGTTAAAAAATACTTAAATGTGTTATTATTTTGATAGTGTGATAACAACTTCTTTATTTTCTTTTCTTTTGAAATAATATGTGTGCTACGTATGAATGTATGTAGGTGCGTAAAGTTTGAACGCTCCAGCGCAGAGCAGATGAGTTTTTCATACATTTTTGCCGACAACACCCGGAGTTCCAAGCAGGAAAAATCAATCCGAAGGAGCCGCGGCGTATGCAATTGCTTTGGGAGGAGGTAGCACAAGGGCTGAACTCCTTAAATGGTCCAACACGCACGGCAATCAAATGGAATGAGGTTGTATATACATATATGCAATATTACTCTTTTTGTGCATCAATAGTTACGTTTTCTTTACAGACATTAGGGAATTGGAAAAATCAATTACGCACGCGAGTGCGACGCATTAAAATGAACCAACGACTGGCTGGTGGTGGACCATCCGCTAACAGACCTCTCAGTGACTTCGAAGAGCTAGCGCTGGACACATTTGGAACAGCAGCAGTTGGCGGTTTGGAACATGTAAGGGCTTTAAGCGTTGCAGTCGCAAGTAACGGAGAGTCACTTCCTCTTAGCCCTGGGTTTTTGGAGACGCCCAGCCCTAGTGTACCACTGCCTCTCAGCCCTGGAGTTGCAGATGTTATAAGCCCAAGTGTCTCGCTGCCTCCTAGCGCTGAAATTACAGATATAATCGATGCAAGTGCCTTGCTACCTCCCAGCCCTGAAATTACAGATGTAATCGGTCCAAGTGCCCCGCTGCCTCCAAGCCCTGGAATTACAGATGTAATCGGTCCAAGAGCCCCGCTGCCTCCAAGCCCTGGAATTGCTGGTGCAATCAGCCCAAGTGCTTCGCTGCTCCTCACACATGGAATTGGGGAGACAGCTACTGATATTCTTCCATCGCATCCAAGTTCTTCTGTTGTGCAGCTACAGAGCCCTCCAAGTATCTTTACACGTAAAAAACCAATCAAGTCAGAAGAAATGTTCTCTATGTTGCTGCAAAGCATGAAAACCAGAGATCAAAAAATGCAAGAAGTGGAAAATGCACGAGCAGAGAGAGAACAACAAATGGTCACAGTGCTGCAAGGTCTAACAATGCGTAACTGAACTGGTTAAAGAAATTCATAAGAAATAAAATGTTCTTCATAATAACAAATATTCCAAGACTAAAATAAATAAATTCCAAGACTGAAATAAATAAATTAAATAAGTACATATGTATATAAAAAATAATGAGTGTGTGTGTGTGTGTGTGAGTGTTTTATATTTGTCCAAAGTGCTCAACCGATCTTCATCAAATTTTTACAGTAGATTCATGTGGCCTCTAGGGAAAAAAGGATGTATTTATTTTCGTCATACCTCCGCAACTATTTGGTGAAAATTAGTGATATTTTGATATAAGCATCTTGGAAAAATGGGAGGTGCCACGCCCTATACGAGATGTTAAAGGATTGTAGGAATGTTAAAGGATTGTGGTTTTCCTACCGATCTATTCGAAAAAACGTATTTATGAACTGATTTTCTTGAAATCTGGTACGTAGATAACTTATTTCCTGAATTAATGTATAATATACTTTTTCCGATAGGTGGACCAGGGGCCAATCTATTGGAGAAAACGCATTTTTGATCCGATTAGGTACACGTATTATTTATACATACTACATATTTTGCGAACAATATCAAAAACGACAAATATTTGTTAAAAAAATGTTTTTTGTTTTCGATGAAAAAATTTAACATAAAGGTTGTTTTACTTGTTTCGGAAAACATAGGCACACAAAAAAAGAAAATGTTGTGAACCGGAGGGTAGACCCAACTATTTCTAACCTTTTGGGGTCGCTGAAAATGATAATGAACAAAAAAAATAATTTGAATTAACTACTTGCCCGCTACCACACCTGGAGGGATTAATTTTTCAAACTTTTTATTTAGATTTTTTAGAGAGATTTAGGGTATGCAGTCTTATAGGCCGATAAATTTTGCACTTTATCGTACTGAAATTTATCGGCCTATAAAACTGCATACCCTAAATTTCTCTAAAAATTCTAAATAAAAAGTTTGAAAAATCATTCCCCCAGGTGTTGTAGCGGGCAAGTGGTTAACTCAAATTATTTTTTATGGTCATTATCGTTTTCAGCGACCCCAAAAGCCTAGAAATAGTGGGCTCTACCCTCCAGTTCACAACATTTTCTTTATTTGTGGGCCTGTGTTATTAAAAAAAGTTAACATTATACATGTAAGGTAGAAATATATCTTTGTCGAATCCTTCCACCTTCCCTGCCAAAGTTAGAAGTGTCTCCTGGTGCTATCGTTTCGTGTTG